TCGAATAAAATCCTTTGTTTTTTTAAATATGTGTTATCACTGTTTCACACTTATAGAACTATTAAATAATAGACGTTATCACTTTTGCACAATGACACGAGTCAACGCATGTGCCACTTACACGTGTCAAAATTGTATCTCAGTTAAGAAACAAATATTTTCGCAGAAATATTAGTTTCTCAACTGAGATATTTGATTACAATATGGATTGTATGTCAGTTGAGACGTTGCGGATTTGTTCTTAACTTTCTATTGTTTCTTTATCCATAGAGATACTCAAGACGTATTATGTGTATTAGATCGATTAGATTTAGACGCAGAGCCAATTAACGAAGAAGAAATTCCAAGAAAGTTTGGTAAGTCATTTTAGGATTATAGAACAAAGAAAAGCTGTGAAAACCTAAAGATTGGGAAGGTATAGAAATGTTTTTCATAAGAGAAAATTTTCTCTGTTTTTTGAAGAAAATTGAATCACATTGTTCATCATTTCTTTTGATTTGATGATCTTTTAGCATAAAATTTCAAACTCGAAAAAAATTACTACGAAGCAAGAGGATGATCTCTACCCACTTATCTCGTACGTCATGTCACTACTACAGCAGAAGTATGTGCTTGCAGAAAAGTCTCACAGTTTTTCATTATCAGAATAACTACAAACACTTTTGTTTATGTACGAGACAAATCTTAATAAATCTCTTATTTTTCTTTCAGGTTGGGATTTCGATTCCACAATTCGTCATAAAAATATGTCATTGCAAGAATATATGAGAACGTTACCGTGGTTCAAGCGAATTCAGCCAAGAATCTGGCAGCTATTTGAAGAACCGTATTCTTCTAGTGCCGCTAAAGTAAGCGACTTTTTCTTATAGCACTTTCATTTGAAATATTCTCATTTCATTTCAGGCCATTCAAGTTGTTAGCATATTTTTTATCTTAGTATCGATAATATCATTTTGTTTAAAAACTCATCCGATGATGCGTGTACCAACAATAACATTGCTTGATAATAATTTTACAAATATAACGCCAACCTATACTTTGTACAAAGAACGTACCGAAGCACATGAAGCCTTTACATACATTGAAATAGCTTGTAACGTTTGGTTTACATTTGAAATCGTTACACGTTTTATCGTATCACCAAAAAAATTTGCCTTTATCAAATCACCTGTAAATATTATTGATTTCGTTGCCACATTATCATTTTATATGGATATTTTATTTAATAAAGTTTTACCACAAAGTTTAACAAATACTGATTTGTTTGAATTCTTTTCCATAACACGTATATTTAGGTTATTTAAATTAACGAGACATTATGGTGGACTAAAAATTTTGATACATACATTTAAAGCATCAATGCGTGAATTAATGTTATTAATATTTTTTCTTGTTTTGTTCATTGTTATATTTGCATCCCTTATTTACTATGCCGAACGTTTACAAAAAAATCCGGATAATGACTTTACATCGATACCGATTGGTTTGTGGTGGAGTATTGTGACAATGACCACGGTGGGTTATGGTGATATGGTACCGAAGACGTATGCCGGCATGCTTGTGGGTGGTCTTTGTGCCTTAACCGGTGTATTAACAATTGCATTGCCCGTACCTGTTATCGTGGCAAATTTTGCTATGTATTATTCTCATACTCAAGCACGAAGTAAATTACCGAAAAAGCGACGTCGAGTACTACCAGTAGAGCAAGTGAGACCAACAAGAATGCCGCCGACAGCCGGCGGAAGCAATACGGGAAGTAAATTTGGTAGTGCAACGGGAATGGGATCATCTAATCTTCCCGGTCCTATGGGTGGCGGACCAAGAAAAAACGCCATTAAACCACCGGGTGGTGGAAACTTGGCCAATAAATTTGGAATGAATCCAGGTGAAAATAATATTATGAACAATAAAATTGGTAAGAAACATTCAACCTTTTTACCTTTATGAGAAAAAAAATGAGATGACATCAGGAGAAATAGCAAACACACGTTAGATATTTCTATTTTAGCAACAAACGCTTTCCAGTCATTTATGGAAGGTAGAGCAAAAATATCATCATATCTAATTTTGATTGATTTCAAAGATGTGTGTGATGTGATATACATCTGTTTGTATTCTTCGTACAGATTACTGCATAAACACATTCTTTTTCTGCTTCTTTTTCTTCTTCTTCGTTTTCTAGCCAATTTGTACCAATGTTATTGTCTCGCTTGTCGCACTGATTATGTCTGTTTTCTGTATCGATAATTTTCTTAATGAAGTTTTCAGCTTAGAATCACACAGTGATGAGTGTTATATCTACAAAAGAAACGATAAGACATTATCGACACAAAACGTTTTCACCCATATTGAAGAGGCAGAGAAAAAGAAGCTTATATCTTTTTGTTTTTTCAATCTAAGCGCGCGTATCTCTGTTATTAATTGATAATAACATAAATGGAAATACACAATTAATTTCGTGACGTTAATGGAGAGAGAAAGCAGCGATAGACCAAGTGAAAATTTTATTATCAATACTTTTCACTTCACTAATTCTTATAAATAGCCTTGGAAATAAACCACTTAAAACCGTTGAGGATAAGAAATTGTTTATATTATACCATGACAATATTAGTTCATTTGAATGAGTAGAAATTAGATCGTACACACTCACTGACCTAGTCTCTGATGAGGGTCAGTGAAAATGAAGGACATACTATGAGAACAGATTAATGATGAAAGGTAGTAGTATTAGCTAATATATTCTTTTTTCTTTATGCTTAAATAATATGTCGCTTTCCTAATGATTAGTGGATTAAACAGTTGATAATAGGTTTTGGGTTAAGTCTATTGCATACTGAGCAACCACTTGGATTCATGCTTCTCTTCTTTAAAACCGTTAATCTCATTAGTAAGTTATGTGCCAAATAAGATCGTCAAAGAAGACTCTTGGAAAAGATTCCTTCTTTCCTTCTTTGGAAACTGGAAGAGCTAATTGCACTGCTTTTTTTTTCTGACTGACGATTAGGAGAGATGTTGCTGATTCAACAGTACCATTTCCTAATCATGTCATTGTTGTTGACACATATTTTTTTTCTTTTGCACAAAAATAAACCTTGTGGTCATGTGTACTATTTTCTTACACCAAATTATTTGTACAGTAAACAGCGATAGCCTTTTTCGTTTCACAAAACATTGACTTTTTCTATATTATACAAATTTGTGCTTAATCGTATAGGCAATGAAGAAGAACGGTCTCCAATGATTCAACCCAGTCCAAAAATTAATCATACAGCCAAAGTTTAGTTCTCTGGGTAAGAGGTAACAGATTACCAACGGCAACTAAAGCTACTGTTTCTTTTTCGTTTGGCATGTGTGCTATTTAAAAGTAATGAAAATCATTTTGTTAAGATTTTTCACAGATATATTAATTTCTTGCTACTCACATTGATTATATTGAATGCACGTTTTATTATTCTTTTTATTATCCTATCTATTTAATTTTTTGATTTGGGCTGTCAGAAAAAAGGGGTGGTTTATCGATTCTATCTTCTACTCATCTATTTTGTATTTTGTGTTTTTATTTATTCTTTCTTTAGAAGATCATCCACTATGACGTAAGTTAGTTACAGTTAGTTAAATGTGAATAGGGAACCGCGTTTCATATGTATATAGAATTGTTACAGACATCTGTAAACTATCAATAGATAATCCTTCCCATTCCTTTTTATTTTGTTTTTTATCATAAACCTTATAGATTTGCATGTGGTTTCTCATTTATTAGCTTGGCTTTCCTATATGCTGCTGATTATATATTATTTAGAAAAAAATGTAGCTTTGATTGTTAGGATTTGCAACTGCTAGTTGTTTTATGTGTTATTTCATGACAAATATATGTTTATCATTTACTTTAATTGATAAACATGTATATTCTTTCAAAGATAATCAGAAAAATTACTGTAAATACTATTTTATAAGACTGGTTTCAGTAGTACGAAAAGTTTGAAAAAATTGCAATTCAGTACATCTTATTCTGAAATAGAATCTATTCTAAATGTAAACAGTAAATCTATAGTTTTGTCTATAAAATACATTATGAATCGAAGATATTTTAAGAATTTGACCTCCCCATGTGAAAAGTATGTGTGATACTATAATAGGTATCATTGTGAGGACACTTTTGAATCTTATATTGTGTAATTTTTTAGAGGAAATTGAGATGAAAATTGAAAGTATTAATACATCGCCAGCAAATAACAGCACAAGTACAATTGATACTACAAATCGAGCACCATCACGATTACATTCATCTCGTACAATGCTGACTGAAATTGTTGCTTAAAAATGAGTGTATGGTGATATTACGCAACAATTGAAATAGTGCATAGCATCTGACGATTCAAGATTTTCAAAGTTATATAGTGCCGATATAATTAATTGTGCTCTACGCGTTTGTATCACAGTATAATTTTAAACAATTTATTGTACAAAAATTTATAAATGCCGTCCGTTCTATATATGTTTTCTTACATATGTGTGGTTTTATTTTCTTTTTACAAACAGTCAATGTGATTTTTCTTTTACTTTAAATGAACAAAAAACAGTGAGAAACACATGTTTGCACTAAATAAATAGGAAACGACTCAATTTTCAAAAATAAAAATAGATTTTGGAACGGGACAGAAAAAAAATGAAAGATTTCCCAAAGGAAATATGCTGTAATGGAAGAGAAAAAATGGAAATAGAGTAGATGTGGAAACAATTAAATCGGAAATGTATGGCGTATCACATAAATAATTGTGCAATCCGTAACGGATCTATGCTACCAGGTTCAGTGGTTCAGATAGTTATAAGTAATTTTTCACTGTTAATTTCCGAATGAGAAGTTCGTATTCCTCGTATATTTTCTATGAGTTAGAATAGAAAACTAATAGATCAGCAATAAAACGTTTTTCTTTTTTGTTTTAAAAATATAGGTAGTAACATGTATAGAACAAATGTAACTGAAATTCTTAAGCACTTTAGAAGCGCATCTGCTTTCCAAGTCCACTGTCGATCCGATGGATATATTCATCACACCATTTTCGCAGTGTTACCTATAATATAATGAGAAGCATAATATGTCATTATACTACAGCCAGGCAGAGTGAAAATACCTCGCACATTTGAATAACCAATTTTATTTTAGGATTTTTTACAATATGTTCAATAGCGTCGTCATTCAATAATGATAACTGCCATTCATGTGGTAGCCTCTAGAAACAAGTTGACGCTTATGTAGGAAAAAAATTCATATTTAAATAGTTGTATACTAACCAGAATATTTCCAGCAGGTACACAAACACAACGTCCAATATATAACATTAATGTTGCTAATACTTTTAAACTTGCTTGCTGAGATGACGATATTTGGCCTAACATTAAACGGTATTTGATTGGTTTGCAAAGTAGCTTAAATATAACTTTTCATTTATCTTTATCTCTTTTTTTTTCGAGCCATTTTCACTTACAGTTGTTACTAGCGCTCGAAATATAAATACTCCTATCAGCAGTAATGTAGCCCGCTGTTTCGTAACATTCATTGTCTTCTTATTTTCATCGTCAAATTCTAATTGTTCCTAAAAAAACCCAATGTAGTTTATCGCTAGATAAAATAACCAAAGAGAAAATGAAATACGTACACGTTCACATTGCCAAAAATATTTATCTAGAAAATGATTACCATCCTGGATAAGAACTGATATGGCTGAATTTTTACTCGAACCTAATACTCCATCACGCGGCTAAAACAAAAGGTAATTGCATAAATCTCTTGCCAAATTACAGTACATGCAAAAGTAGCGACACCCCTGGAACTCAAGAACTATGATAGGTAGGAATTTCCAATTTTATGTGGCCATAGCTCTTACCGAATGCTGATCACCCACCAAGTTTGGGCCTCGTTTACTGGATGGTTCATGAGATATAAGCGATTTATTTCTTTTCCGTAAAATATCAATAACTCCTGACCTAAGAGAGATGAAAATTTTTTCTTTTTACAGAAATGTAGTACAACTGTACTCTATCTACGATATGAATTTCGTGAGTTGACTGTCAGTGAAATACATCTATTTTACGGGCGAGATTCGCTTTCTATTGTTGAAAATTCGAGGTTCTTTGCGAAAAAGAATTCACAACTCAGTCTAGGAGCATCATTTTGACGTCATATTCGCACCAAAGACTCTACAATGTCGGTAGATTATCTAGCCAAAGTATGAAGGTTAACTATTGTGTGATTCAGGAAATTCATTGAGAACGAGCGCTCACGATTGAAACATAGGTGGAAGAGCGAGGACGAGGAAATAAGGATCTCTCTTTCTACTATAGAATCCGCATTCAATGTACATCATACTCATGAAAAAATAATCATGGAAACCTATGATTTCGAAAAAACGTAGGTGAAACTTTTGTCAGAAAGATCACACGCTCACCTCTGATCTTTGAGATTAGCAGACAAAACTGGGTCGAATAGCATACTTAACATTCGGTTTTCGAACAAATAGTGAGCGTGTGATCTTTCTGACAAAAGTTTCACTTGCGTTTTATATGACGTCAAAATGATGCTCCTAGACTGAGTTGTGAATTCTTTTTCGCAAAGAACCTCGAATTTTCAACAATAGAAAGCGAATCTCGCCCGTAAAATAGATGTATTTCACTGACAGTCAACTCACGAAATTCATATCGTAGATAGAGTACAGTTGTACTACATTTCTGTAAAAAGAAAAAATTTTCATCTCTCTTAGGTCAGGAGTTATTGATATTTTACGGAAAAGAAATAAATCGCTTATATCTCATGAACCATCCAGTAAACGAGGCCCAAACTTGGTGGGTGATCAGCATTCGGTAAGAGCTATGGCCACATAAAATTGGAAATTCCTACCTATCATAGTTCTTGAGTTCCAGGGGTGTCGCTACTTTTGCGGAGTATTGTAATCATTTTGTGCCCAAATTTTGTAAGAGTTGAAGAGCTTTCACTGTGGGTCCTATCAACTGTCTAAAGAGTGAGTATATCATCTGCATATACAGTTTGTACATGAAAATAAAATATTCACCAAAACAGCCTAAATAGCTAATTTTTTCGAACAGACGGTTATGAAATAAGTTTGGCGCACGTACAGTGGTCTCCAATCTTCACGACAATATGCATATGGATATGCGTCAAAATTACTTTTTACAAGCTCCCATTTAGTACGTGATTGTAGATCGTTAGAGTGATGATCGTTTTTTAAACGCATATACACAGATTAAACTTTTCGCTTACCATAAAATCTATAATTTTTGTTATAACATTTTTCAGTGCTTCGGCTATGTTGTTGATTGCTTCATCGTATTTTGGTGATGATATTGTTAACGCTTCATATAACGGACTATGTATACTTTTTAATAGAGCCACATAGATTGGACCATCCGGCTAATAACAAAATAAATTGTCAACTGATTTAATAACTCAGTTTCGATAGAATCTCACTTCAAGGTAAACTCGATGCAGTGCAACAATTATTTCCTGTAAACGAATTTTTAATATTAAAGCGCTATTTGTTTCTCTTGGAGGATTCTAAAATTATACATATTAAAGCAATATTAGTAAGAATCAATTAAAAACACTAACTTTGCGACTAATGACTGCTTGATGCTTTAAACATGATATAAAATAAATGCCTATAGCCGTTTCTTTAAATGTCAGTTTTTTGTAGAACGGACGTAAATGATTACCATATAGAAAAAGACAAAAGAGTAAAATTGTAGTATATTGTCTTGTGGTGATAATTAGAGGATAATAATACCATTCTCAGGGCTGACTCTATGAGTTAGTTGTGAATGAAATGACTGATTTGATGGTTGATGGTTTGTGTTGACCGGTGTTGGATGGTTTGTGTTGACCGGTGTTGGATGATTTGTGTTGACGGGTGTTGGAAATGAATAACCTGAAATATCTCGAACATATGTAAACCAAAATGGTACAAAATATTAAAATTGCTAACAAGATTTATATTTAACTATGTTACGCTCACCTGGCATCTGCGTTTCACTTTCGGAGCCATCAGCACCTAAATCAACTGAAGTATATGATCCTAAAAGTAAAAAAGAAAAATATTGTTTAATATAATGCAAAATTTTAGATCCGATCTAACTTACCCGTATTAGATAAATTCAATTTTTCTCTATTTTCTTTTGGATTCTGTTTATTCTGTTCTACAAAAAAAGGTTATTGAAAAACATTTTAATACCATTAATTAACAGACAATAATAATGAACTGTTTATGAAATACACAATCTATTGATAGTTGTTACAGTGTTTATTTGATAATAACGAAAAGACTAAAGCGTTCCCCATAGATGCGTGAAAATCAATGCATATAAAAAATTAATTTTAGTGTTTTATTATTTTACGTGATTTTTATGATTTTGAAATTTTCGAATTTTGAGTTTTTTTATTACTCTTTTGCGCATCACCTTTTTCCCCAAGTGATCTTGATGTCAGATATATATCGCTTGGCAATCGTATTGTATGTTCAGACTTTTCAAGCAAATTTGATGATGGTATGGTTTTTGTAGTAGTATGTTTTGTCATTGACTCAGGATCACTAGTAGAAAAAATAAAATAAAAAACAAAACGAAACTCAGAAAAGAGTTAGAAAAATTGTATTACTGTTGATTAGATGCAATTGGTGGTAATTTACTGTAGGATAATTGAGGATAAGTTCCATCATCATATATCTGTTGAAAAAAGAAAGATGAATAGAAATTTCATATAATAAAATCACATACAGTATTAGAATCGGAATGAAATCGATTGTAAAAATCAATTCGAGATTTTAATACTTCTTTTAAATTTGGATTATTTCTAATAAAATCTAATCATAAGAAACAAAATAGTCATTTATCATTCATAATTTCTTATTTTTTAAGCAAACAAACCGCTGTCTATGTGATTTATCGGTGACGTTGATGTAGAGAAAAACGCACTATCATACGATATTCGTTTGCCATCGTGAACATACGGATAGTCTAATCTTTCTCGTGATGACTGTTCTATATCTTTAATATAAATAAATATGTTAAAAATGACAACAGAAAGTTATAAAAACGTTGACATTGGAGAAGATTTGTTTTTCGATAAATAAATAAACATTATATTTGTGTTCTTTTTTAATATACTTGCCAGTATACGGACTATGAATATTCATCTGTGAACGTTGTTGTTTATCAATTGCTTTCTAAAATACATTTAAATATTATTTTATTCAGAAAGGAAATAAATATATTCACTTACGAGGAAACCTATCCAACTGATACCTTCCGATTTCGTTCGTTAAAACATCGATCGATAGAGGGTATTGAGCTAGTAAAAAGTCCAAAAGAATTTTCTCCATGACTCTTGAAGACCCGATTTTCTGGAAAATCATGTTTTTAGAAACTCTAAAAGTAACCAAAACCTTTCTTGATGAGACATAATTGTAGCCCGCAAATTTCTTATTAAAATGAGACATCCCCCAGCTTTACACGACCTTTCTTTGCAAAGTTATAGAATTTACACGAAAAGCCTTAAATTAATTTTTTCCTTCTTATTTCTGTAGCTTTGAACATTGGGCAATGAACATTTAGGGCTTTTCGTGTAAATTCTATAACTTTGTAAAGACAGGTCGTGTAAAGCTGGGGGATGTCTCATTTTAATAAGAAATTTGCGGGCTACAATCATGTCTCGTCAAGAAAGGTTTTGGTTGCTTTTTAGAGTTTTTAAAAACCTGATTTTCCAAAAACCGGGTCTTCAAGAGCCATGGGGGGAAATCCTTTTAGGTTTTTTACTAGCTCAATACCCTCGATCGATCAACGCATGAACGAACGAAATCGAAAAGTATCGGTTGGATAGATTTTGTCGTTAGTATTTGGTCGAATTATAAAATATGCAATTTCTAAAATGAATTTTGAATAAAATACTTGCATCAAGTCTTTTGAATGCTAGGTGACGTCTGGCCATTGAATCTATCAGGTCATCTATGTTCGATGTTGAAAAATTGTGTTGTTGTTGTTGATGATCTACAATAATAAAAAAACGAAAAATTTGTCATTATGATAGTATAAAAAAAAAAATTTTTTTACTCGATGTCAATAAATTATTGTAATTATAAACATTTGGTAATGTTTGTTGTGTTCGATCGTTTATCAATGAATTCTTTAAAGTTTAATTAAAACTAACTGTTAATGTACAACAAAATAAATTGAATCATTTTAAATGATCTTACATGTATACGACGTATTTCTAATTCTTCTTCGATACTCAGATTATTTGCCATAAATTCATCATTGTAAGAGAGACGATCTGAAATTAAGAAAAAATAAAAATAAAATTCATAATAAATGAAAATATGTCATGCTAAACACGTCGTGGAATCAAGTCAAGTAGTGTATAGGTGTAAAAGTGCATGATCAAATTTTGTATACCTTTGCTAATGAAACGATGAGATACAATAGGTAACGGTGATTTAAATTTATAATCTATAGGTGAGATAGCTTTTGATAAATGAATCTTAGAGAGTTGCTGCTGTTGGTTGTTGAAAGCAGTCTTATTAAACGTGATGTTTTCAAGAGGAGAAACACGCGTTACATTAGAATTTTCTCTTGATAAAAGATACATATTAGACAAATTTTCTAAAAATGATAATAAAATTAATTTTTTTATTATTTAAAAACATTTAAAAATTTCACATACGTGTTCTTTTCAAATATTCGTTGGCACTTCGTCGTTGATGGTCTAATTCCTATGAAAAGCAAAAATAAAATTTATTTAATTTGTTTAGTTATATCAAACATGTTTCAATTATAGTTACCGAATCGATTAAACGTAATCGAAGTTTGTGAATATGATCTTCAACATTCGTTTCCATTGATTGTGGAAGAAACTAAATATAAAAGAAGATAAGAGTGTAATCGAACTTAAACTTCAATATTTGATGAAATCTGGATAACATACAGCTTTAAAAACAGGTCTTTTCAAGAAAAAATATGTTTTTGTAGTTCCTAGGTGGTCAACGGAGTAAGTTTAGTCATAGTTATTTATTTGCGTTATTGATGTAACAATTAAATTACTTTTTACACTGTACTCACTACACACACGTACTTAAATTCAAAATTTTAAAGTGACATCATGTATTATTATTATTATGTATACAAAAGAAAAAAAACTTACTTTGAGCTATTCATACCGACGGTTCACGTACAGAACGAGTAATAAAACTTACGTCAGAAAAAAATTCTACAGTTTCAGTGTTAATATAACATGCACAAACAACTTAAAAACCATTCAACATGAATGAAATGTGGGACTAAGATTCAAGAAGAACACACCATCCCAATTAGTTTTCATTTAAATTTTAAAAGCAACTAAAGAGATGGACACATTAGAAGACCTCCCTAGAATAGAAGACCCCCCTTTGAGTGAGCGAAGCAAAAGACAGATTAGAAGATCCCCCTTAATAAAGGTTGATTTTTTGAGAATTTTTACAAATTTTTTGCACTTCTTTGAATATGCATCTCTGTAACTGAACCGCAAAAATGTTAATTAATACAGTTGCTTCGATGATTCTTCCGTTCAACCAAGTCATATACCCAGGTATAGATTTAATTTGAGTTGTGCCAAATCAGATCAGTCAGAGGCACATGACAAGAAGCGTGATTCAGATTCGCTTGAACACGTTAAACTTATTAAAACTTCTTGTACCCAAGATCATGGGTTAAAAAGTGTCACAAGATCATGGAAAAAACACCAAGAAGTCAAGATCTTGGTTTCTTGAATCTTTCACTCAACATTTTGGGAACAGAAATTTCCAGATCTTGAGTGAATCCACTCAAGCTGTTGCACGAGCTTGAGTGAAAAATTTTCTTTACATTTTGTTTTTATTTATGACAGTCATAATCATCGGATATACGACCATACAGAGTGATAGATTCTTCCTTAAATAACTATGTTCAAGAACGAAAAAAATTCGCAATTATTCTAAGTGTTAAAATATTCGCCATCATATGTACACAAGAGTGTAAAAACAAAACGATGATTCAAGAATTTTCAAGATATTAGTACAAGAAGTCAAGAGATTACAAGATTTTCAAGATCTTGACTTCTTGAAATTCCTTGAATTATTATAGTTTCTTAATCAAGATCTTAATGAAAAAATTCAAGAAGTCAAGATCTTGGTTACAACAAGTTTCACTAGGGTTGTAATTAAAAATCAAAATAAACCGTTGCCTTTAAAAGATATGCAAAGAAATCAGTAAATCTATTTTTTCGTTTTTTGTTGTCGAACAAGAGTGAAATTAACAGCCTTTTGTGTGTAATTTACTATATTGTGTAAAGAAAAATACTGCGGTTTTCAATTGCGTGTTTTACTGCTAAGAGTATCGAAAAATATGACTTTTCTAAGGGACACAATAGAAGACCGCCCCCGAAAATTTGTGAACGATAGAACACATTAGAAGACCCCGGGTCTTCTCATGTGTCCATCCTTTTACATCGTAAAATTAAAAATAGTGACCTGTACATGACTCTAAATTCGAACAAAAACTTACTGATACTTCGAACGGAAATCTGGCAAACACAGGTAGTCGATTATTCACTGTTGATCCAAGCGGTAATTCATCGTCACCAAATCGCATCACTACAGATTCGTCTTTCTAAATAATAACCAGATGTTTGAATTTTTTTGTTGAATATCAAGACTAGAACCGTATAAAAAAACAACTGATGTGGGTTTAAAGTACTGACATCCTCTTCTTGAGTTAATAATTGCCTCGTTACGAAAATATAGTAGCTCCTTTTATGCTCAATAGTAGCTCCTTTGTGCTCAAATTTTTGTAAGAGTTGAAGAGCTTTCACTCTGGATCCCATCAAGTGCCTCAAGAGTGAGTATATCATCTGCATATACAGTTTGTACATGAAAATAAAATATTCACCAAAACAGCCTAAATAGCTAATTTTTTCGAACAGAAGGTTATGAAATAAGTTTGGCGCACGTACAGTGGTCTCCAATCTTCACGACAATATGCATATGGATATGCGTCAAAATTAGTTTTTACAAGCTCCCATTTAGTACGTGATTGTAGATCGTTAGAGTGATGATCGTTTAAACGATCATTGGGTGTAAACGAGTTAAGAGAAGTTGCAGTGGAGTAAACCTCATTATATGCAGCAAAACGTATAATTGTGCTCATTGAGAGCAGCAAGATACTAAATGCGCAAGAACTTACATAGGTCGATGTTTTCCGGCCGGATCCAGCAGAACCTGGTGACCGGATTCCGACTACCGCAATCCGCGATTCTGGTTGATTTCCGACGCCGTGAATCTGGAGATCAGGTTTCCGCTGATTTCCAGTACATATCCGGTGGAAAATTAACGGATTTTGCCGGTTTAAAGGACCTGGGTTTGTACAAAAACTTACATTTTCGTCATGTTTCGTAACGTTTTGACTTTTAACTACTAATACTCTTTGTTCGTTTTGCTGCTGTGGATTAGTCTTTGTGTTCATGTTTATTGTCTGTTGTTGACGTTGTTTTGTATTACCATGATTATCTACAATGTCGTTATTACCATTATATTCTCGATTAATCAGTTGTCCCGTCAAAGGATCATATCTCATATCATTTTCTCTATAGAGAATACCACTCTGTGGTGGAAATAACGCATTTGGATTGTAATTGTGGTGAAACTGCTCCATTTCTTTTGTATTTCTCTGTTGATCAAACTTCTTTTGTTGCTGCGGATGTTGTTCTGTGAAATGAGCATGAGTTTTGTCATTGAGGACAGCTTTCTCATGTGTATTTTGATGAAATGGAGGAGTCGGTTGACTTGGAAGGGGATCGTTGTTCGATCTTGGTGATGGACGACGCTGTTGATTTCGATTTGCATTTACTTGTGGACGAACCTGATTTACCTGTTGTTGATTACGTATTTTCGACATTGACTCATTATTTCTAACAGATGAGGCATTGCTCTTACGACCGTACGATTGTTCGGGTGTACGTTGAGTCAAGTTTCGAGGTGTATATGGTAATCGTTGATTTCGTTGGAGTTGTGCCATATGGACGTTTTTGCGTTAATTCATGGTTGTTAAGTCGCAGTAATCCTTTGTGTTTACAAAACTAACAAATCTTTTCGTTTCAACAAGTATCAGTAGAACTGTAATTGTTTGATTTTTCAAATAACAAACAAGAGAATAAAATAATAATAATAAATACTAGAAGAAAAAAAGAGGCAAAAGAAAAAGACATTAGACGAGTGCAAAAGAAAATGCGATTATTGACTTAAAAATGGCCAGCAGTCTTTTAAAAAGTGTAAGAAGTTTATCCGGTAATTATCGTGAAATAATATATAGTCAAGAAACTTACTTAGCTGAAGACAAATGTAACTAGTTCAAGTCGTTCAAGGAAAATACGACATTGACAAAATTTTTTATATTTTGACTATTCGTATTGTTTTTCTAATAAAAAAGCTACACGGTTTATTCATGAAAAAAAATCGGATTTTTCTATCTTAGAAATTCTTCAAAGAAACAATCATAGCGTTTCTATAAATGTTATCGATACAACTGTAAACTAATTCATTATTTTCTGCAGTAGATATTTTTAATCTAAAGTTTTCAATGACGTGATATTCTTACCATGGGGAAAAATAATAAATGATCAAGTTTACCGACAATACAAGATGGAAAATTGAATTTTTCAAAAACTCTTATGAATTTTTTGATAATTTTATCTTAAGAGTACAAAATAGCAAAGATTTTAAAAGAAAAAAGTATTTTTTTTATTAAAAATTAACGTGGGGATACAGAACAGACTAAGATGTGTTTTTTTCTATTCTCAATTCTATTCTCAAGCCAAAGATAGAATGGAAAAACCAAATAGCAAACAAACGCTATGAAGCAATCTCTTTTAAAACGCGCCATCTACAACACATTCTCTGGTTTTAGAACATTTTCTAATTATAATTTTGGTATGAGATATCCTACTAGTATAAAGTAGTTTATAGCGTATGGGATAACAAACAATAACAAACTATATTTATCGTGCTTAGCAACAGTACAGATAGACTACGTGAATGGCGAATGCAACTTTCTCTTTAGTGTTTCCGTTTGTGGATCGCATACGCAATGGACAGTGGAGAAATAAAGAGTCGTTATGTTATCTTGCATCTAGAAGTTCTTCACGGTACGAAATATTTCTCTAACGACTAAATACTTCAGCATTGCTGCTTCTATCAAACTTATTCACTTATGATCGTTCCTAGATCCCAAGCTAAGAAAATTTGTTTGCCTAGTTACATCTAGTTAGATAAGTGTTCTTCTTTACCTAGGTTAAACCAGTTCCAAAAAATTTGTTTTTTATTGGAATCAAAAATAACTTTTTCTTTAGACTTTTAAACTACATCATGTGCCTCGCAGTTAAATAAAAAAAGCAAGGGTTTAGAAGGAAAGAATTTATACATGAGAAATTTTCGTTTTGACTATCACACGGTTCATTTCACTTTGATATTTAATACATTTAAAAAATTATTTATTTTAGGATCTGATCGTTATGAAATTAATTTGCATATGGAACGTGAACCTCTGGTTTACGACTTGCAAGAAGAGCTAGAGAAAAAAGCTCGTGTAACAGTTGCAAATCAGAAATTAAATTTTCGAGGTGATATACTCCGTTATGATCTTGCTGTGTGAGCAATGTTTTTATTTTTTGATGCATTAGGTCAACGGCTGCATCAAAGTCCAGATAAACCATTGTCTGCTTTTGGATTATTTAATGGGAATCGAATTATGCTTATTGGGGAAAAGGTATTCTGTCTTTCAAAATCCTATGAAGTGTTATATAGAGCCTCAAATATATTCGCAAAAAAATTGAATTAGTGGATCTACTGCGAATAGTACAAGTACCACTTTCTCTTTAACTCTGTTGAAAAATAATGCTGTTGTGAATTTATTTAGTTGAACGGCATTGAAGATACACATTATCGACAATTTTTAAGCTTTGAAAGAGATATTCAACTCATCGACGATCTTTTGCAGCTTGTGTGCCAAGATTTTGAAAAAATTAAAGAGGTACGTTTAAATCAACTCTGAAACGAACCGCAGCGATCAATAAACAAGTACATAAGATAACATTTTTTTTTGTTGCTTGCATTCTTGTTTAGTTACTTCTTTATTCTTGTTTACGCTACTTGACGTTTTGACTATTTATTTTGACTGCTTGTCTAATATGTACACGTTTTCTCGTCTTAGGAAGCTATAGCTCCTCAATACTGCCACAACTTACTTGCTGATTTATATGCGAAAGTACAACGGTGTGGTCAAGATTTAAATACGTTTAATCAAGTTGCAAATAATGTGAATGTTGATTCTTCGGAATGTGATGCATTAAAAAAAAAGAATCAGACACTCGAACGAATCAAAGTAATAACCACATAGGATAATCAAAGTTATAATTTTCAGATGTTTTCTTTTTTTTAGGATCTCATAGATATTTCAAATAATGTATCGTCTGCTATTGCTAATTATGGTGCTCAATATCAACATCGAAAGCAATAATCACTTTTCGAAAAATATTTTTACTTTTTTAAGTGTATATATCAAGAATGTGTGTTGCCTTTATTTAAACATTTATTTGTTTTATTTTGCTATAATAACTAAAAATCTTATGATGTCGTAGAACAACTACCGGCATTTAGGAATGGAGAAAAGTATGTCTTGCAGCAATTACTGTTATAGGTTTTCAAAAAATTTTAGACTTAAAATGATAGAAGGTAGCAATGAGTCTCACACTCGAATATTTTTATGGCCAGCTCGCTAACATTATGCGTGTTAAACTGAATGTTTCGGTCATTGCTCTTATATAATCATTGTATTTTACTCAAACCTCAAAAAATTCTTGAAACATGAGTCTGAAACTACATAGAAGCAGTTAAAAACTTTCAAAAAAGCTAAAACGATCAATTAATATTTTATTCTTCATTTCATTGTTTTTTTTCTTATTCTTTTGCTTCTACATCCAATATCTTTATCATAAAGAAAAGAAGTATAATACTTTTGAACTCAGTCAAGCGCGACAACATACTCATATGTAGTCATATTTGAGAATGGTGAAGATATCATGCACACATATAGATCCGCACTCATTCAGTGTTCAGGTAGAATAGCCTGCCTAATTAAACTCTTATTCTATATCATCGAAGGTGATAAATATCGATTTTTAATGTTAAAATTTTGGAAATCATAATATCAATCTATTATTTTCAACGTAAAGGTAAGAGAAACTGATCAACGTAGAGTTTTAAATGTGTCTCATCTTACTTCTGTTTGATCTATCCCCCATATTCTTGACTTGACCCTGTTGTTTCATCTGTTCTTAAAATTGTTTCCTTCATTTGTGCCCTGTTAGAGTATGAATCATTTTGTCTAAGGTGTTCCAAATCCAAAAGGTAAGCAAAAAATAGATTTTCTTTAAACATATGGTTGGATAGAGCTCGTCGAGTTGATTCCGAATATCGCCTTTTTATCGAGTTTTGATCACGTTTTGGGGGAGAAATCTTCAAAATACCA